AAGGATGTCAGGGATTAAAAAGGGGGCAAACGTTTACATTGAATTTTGGGTACAAAGTGAAAAACAGTGGTAAGTATAGGTAAATATGATTATCAGGAGTTGAGGGAAGAGTTGGAAAAATCGCAGAAGAAGTGCCAGGAATTGAGCGATAAGATGGCAGATATGGTGCCAAAGTGTGAATCCGAGCCAAAGCCGAGACACTCCCCGCCCGAGTAGTCCCGCTTAACCGCCGCCCATATCTCCCAACATCTCTCATATGATTCAACAGCTCTTTAATTGTTTTATTAATTTTCTAATAATTTTTAAAAAATATTAACTGTTTTAATCGTGTTTAATATGTATAAATTGTTCAATTATTAATATGTATTTTAGTGATTGTTTTTAATTAATTAATGATAAATAATTTGTTTTATATAATTATATTTATAAATACTAACAATTATAATACTTTAAGGCAATATAAATTACAAAAATTGATGTTTTAATAATTAATAATTTTGATATTACTAAATACTGTATTTACCATGATTCAAACACTTGAATAAAATAAATTTTAATAAAACTCAATTACAGTATTAACCGTGGTAACAATTGTTTGATTATTAAGTTTATTAAATTAATTTTATAATTTAATAACACTTTAATTGTAAGTTTTAAATAGAGTTCACTTTTAACAAATTATGACTTTAATATAGTTGATATTAATTTGTGCTAGTTGTTTTCAAATCTTATTAATTAAATAAACATAATTCACATATTTAATTAATAAAATATTAAATAAACTTATAATTAAATATCACTTTAATTAAACAATTATTTCATATGAAAAAAAATTACCTAGAAATATTTTCCATACAATTAATAACACTAACTATTTATTAACAATTAATCTCTATATTTACCAAACAATTAGTCAACTGATTATCAATGCATTTATAAATACACAAAACCTCCCTTAAATGTCCATTAGTGTACACACACTGTATAGTGAACTCTAGGTAACACAAAAATCACCAGTATAAAATACATACTACCAAAACACACCCAAAAACATGTCAGTAATTTTACCACAAGTCATCGCCCGTAGGAATCGGCCATCAGTTATGCTCACGGATGAGACCAACCGGAAAGTGGCCGTACTATTGGCCGGACAGGGGCTGACCTCACGGCTCACATCGTTGGTACAGTTGTGGACAAAGACATCGGCCGCAGACAATCGGTGGTCAATTGTCTACAAGAAGATCGTATGCTTTATCACAGATGATAATCATGATCATCGGCGGTGTCTGATCCGTGTGTACGACAACTATCTCCGCTCTGTTCACTGGGAACTGGATTTAGCCAAAGAGTTTGTCTTCGAGTCGACAAAGGGTCCGATGTTTCACGTGTTGCGGACACCAGACGGCCACTGCTGTGGCCTCAAGTTTGCCGACCGGCTCGAGTCAAACGGCTTTAAGATCTTAGTGTTGGAACAGATACTGAAACGATCGGCTCAGTTGTCTCAATGCCGGCCGCCAGCGATAGGGCCGCCGCCACCAAAACCTGTTCAAAACAGGACTCGTCGGTCAACTAACAGGCCATCTGATCAGACACTTGTGGCCACAAATGCCATACCGACTGAGGATCAGTTGAATTGTCTGTTAAAGGATTGCAAACTCTGCAAACTCGATGGCGGGTCCAGCGGGTCATCAACAATGCCGTTAAAGACTAAGCCAAAGACAACGCTATACACGGCTACCGAGATATCAATGGCACAGCAATCGGTGGTAAACGACAGCGAGAGTCTGGCCGTGGATTCAAATCTACAAAAACATAAACCATTGATGACTTTGTGTGTGCAAACACATCGACTGGTGGCCATCCAAGATGTGGCCGATGCCGGGGTTAGAGATACAATGATAGACACTGTGGATACAGGCGTAACTGATCCGGAGGTCAATATTGCCGACTCAGTGATAGACACTGTAGATCCAGAGGTAATGAATCCAATGGTAAATATAGTCAACAATTGCGAAGATCAGCCCAAAGACGACAGTCTAGACATCAGTGACGATAGTCTGGACATCAGTGTCGATAGTCTGGAAAACAGTGTCGATACTGTTGTTACTGATGAGATCGCAGAGATTGTATCACAAGAAACTGATCCATTGGTTCCACAGGTGATACCCAATGATAATATTGACAAAGAAGTGGCCGAATTGGTCCCCGATTTGGTTGAAATAGTGGCCAACAAAGTAGAGATGGAAATATATGAGAGCCAAGTGATCGCAGAATACGACAGTGTCTTCAGTGACACAGAATCGGAGATGAAATTTATGGATGACAGCGATTCCGATGCCGAAGAGTTGGCTATTGATTGTACAAATGCTAAATCAGTGGATAACGAACTGATTATTGAACTGGTGGTTGACTCCGGAGGGCTCGACACAAGTCATTTGGACACAAGAGTTGCCGATTGTAATGAGTGTTTGGCTGAAGACAAGACAGAAATCACAACAAATTCAGGTTTGAACCAGACTTTGAACCCAGAATTAGACCCGGAATTGAATCTAAATTTTAACCCAAAATTTAATACAAAATTAGCCGAGAAATTGGTTGACGACAAACATGAGACCAATTCAAACGCCAATTTGGCGCCGACTTTGGCCCCAAAATTTGACCGCCAATTATACCAGAAGTATAACCAAGAGATGGACCAGAAATTGAACAAATCTATGGCAAAGAAGTTGAGCCCAAAGTTGAACCAGAAAATGGACGCGAAGTTGAACCCAAAGTTTAACCAAAAGTCACTGAAAAATTGCAAATTGAGAGTTGACTTGGATTTGGACCAAATGGACCGCGATTTGAGTCGATTGCAAGAATATGGTAAAGTATTATCGGTTCCAAAACGTCCACCAGTTGTCGAGCCAGAGATTACACTCGTCGACGACCCGCCGACAGTTGACCGGCCAGTTATGGACACGGATTGTGGTCAACACTCGAGTCGGCGCCGGCGGCTGACCAAACTGTTCAGCAAAAAGTCTGCGGGAAAAGCCGGTGGCCGTCACGGGGCTGTCAACCTTAACCTCGGAATGCAGGCCAACAATAGTAACGGTAAGGCCACACATGAATGCGACAAAAAGGTCCGGTGCCTCAAATGTGAGGCTACTATTAGCCCGATCAAAGAGTATAGGGCGGCGCTGGATATCGTTGGCCGACCCGATGTAGAGCAATTAGAGCAAGGTACATCTTGTCCGTCACCACCTAAGCAGAATAAAAAGCGTCGGAGGTTACCAGTTTGGATTTTGGATTGCATTACTTAATTTGATTGGATTTAAGCAAGTAATTTGATTATGGGTGTTTAATTTAGTTTTGTGTTTTATTATTTGAATGCTATTTAATATTTAGTAATTAGTTTAATATTTTCAATGGGTTAAAATATTATGTGGAATTGTGTGTTAATTACATTTACTTATATTCGTTACAACAAGATTGTTGATTGCATTGTCTGTACTTTCATTGTATGATTTGAACATTAAATTTATAGTTTCATTGATTTAGTCTGTATTTCTGTTTTGTCTTATTATTTGATTGTCATTTAATGCTATGCTTTAATAGCATGAGTTTAATGCTATTAAAAATTTCTATAAATTTATAATTTAAATATTTTTATTAATTATAAGTTTTATGTTTATTTGCATTCAATTTGTGTGTTATTTGTAATACTTGTCTATTAATTACCATAAGATGTATCGGTTTATGTATGTTATGTCAAAATTTGTATGTCATTTACAAATAGCACTAAAATAATAATAATGTGTTTTTTCATAATTCTTATTATTTTATCAACACTAGTACTAAAAGTAATTGTATTTACGAAATGTTTAAATACATTTTGTAGTCTTAAAATATAATTTAAATTTCATTTCAAATTATTATAACAATTGCTGTTATAATAATACCATATGTGGAGAGAGAGAGAGAGAGAGAGAGAGAGAGAGAGAGAGAGAACGCTGTTATTAAAAGAGGGTATTATTTTTGGATAAAGTCTCTCT